TTATTATAGTATTCAAAAAATTTACAAGATTGACATTTGATCAATTATCAAAAATGCTAAGATATACAATTGGGCAATATTGTGCTGGTCGTAGGGTAGCCGGTGACAATTGTGCCTTTCAATGAGGCATACAGTTAGAAATAAGGAATTATGGTGATAGTACACTCCCTAGCATGGGAAAGCAAACCAAATTTTCAATTTTAAACTGTATAACATCACAGTCAAGGTCAATATTTCAAATCTCAACAAATCACTTTTAATATCAATAATGCTATTGAAATACTTGTTTTATATACAATAACATTTGTTAACCACTGTGAGTTGCAGGGTGATGTAAATCTATCTACCCGGGTGGGGGGGGTTATTTATAAACAATCAGGTTAAATTATAAACTCCGGATAAATGTTTATAAAACTGACAGTATTTTTACCACTGTGAAATGTGACACAGAGTACATTAGAACATGTTTTAAAACTCAGTATAAAGTGAGAACTGAAAATTGCCCAGTTTCAGGATAAAACAGCCTACCTTCCAAATACTGCATGTTTCTGATCTAAGTGCCTACAAGATCTGAAGGTTATAAAACTGAAAAAGAAAAAGGGACCACAATCATTGTTAGTTTTTATACAACAAGAGTGAAACTAATGCTTCCAGTCATGGTGACATTTTCTGGATCTGAAATCTTTCTGTCACTTTTCATCTCAACAAATTAGTCAGCATATTGATCTACCTCATTGTATCTCTAGAATGTACTGCTTATACTTAGGACAGACTTAGGAAAGCTTACACTCCACCTCACATAACTAAATGCAGTCATGTAATATTATGAAATAAACAGAACATGCACAATCTCTGATGACTAATGGTTGAAAACATGCCAGAATTGGTACAACACCATGCTAAAGTTTAAGACATGGCTCCAAATAAAAAAATAATGATAAATAAATAAATAAATAAATAAATAAATGATGCGTCGGGGGTAAACCACGTGTACCATTACTAAGATCACCCTTCGGTACAACCGTGCCAAATTTCAAACATGCAGGTATAAACATTTACTTCTGAAACAAAGACCCCATGGTTTCCAGAGCCAACTGTGGCCATGTTTTATTTAAGGGAGTACTTACAATTGAGATTTGTTGGTGTTGGGGCCAGAGTTTGCCATGCTGAGTACACCTCTCCCTGAATGAGTTAGATTAGGCTTGAATTCATCCTTGAAGGCTCCACCCCATACAGATTCTCCACCTGTGACCATTTAGAAACATTTCATCATGAATCACTGCATTTATGTCAGGAAGAATTAATGCAATGGTTTAAAATAGGCCAAAAATGAGTCTTAAGTTTTTCACAATATATGAGAAATATCCTTTTACATAAAGCACTTGCCATAACACTTTACATAAAACACATCATTTTTAGTTAACACTGCCAGAAAAAATAAAGAAATACATCATATTCTGTTAACATATGGTGGTTAAAATGTGCTCTTCTGTTAACATATATAACTCCAAACAGTCTTCACTGGAATATGGATGCACAGCATCTATGTCAGTAAAAAACCATGATATATATATATATATATATATATATATATATATATATATATATGAATAATAAAAAAATCTATATTTATTTTAACCACCTACCTTTGCCTGTTCCTGTGGGGTCTCCTCCCTGAATCTAAAATAAGAACACCACAAGTTATAGAATTTATGCTTCCCAATTTTTTGTACTGATAATAGCAAATAAATGTGAAACTAATTACAAAATTACTTGGATAAAACTCTTTTCCCGCTTAAAACAAATAAATATAAGAATAAAAAGAAAAAAATCAATTAAGAAATCTGATATCTTCTAACTACAGGAAAATCTGTAATTATAAACCAAAGGTGAAACAAATTTCCCCAAGAAGCAATTGTTAGTTATTTTTCATACTAACCATAAAATTTCTGATAGATCTGTGGAATGTTGTTCCATTGTAATATCCACTAGCACAGTGCTTCATGAAGTTCTCACATGTCTTTGGAACCTTAATGAAACATAGGTGTTAGTTAAAAATCCTTAAATTCAAAATTCCATTCTGAGCTTCAACAATGAAAATGATGGTTTAAAGTTTCAGACCACCAGTTACTTGGACTAGTACTGTAGGCAATAGAAAACTACTTGTTTGAAGGCGAAGGGTTTGGATATTGGAAAAATTACTCAAAACAACTACTTAGTTTTCCACTTAGCTGACTGAACTAAATTAACTTTAAAAATGTCTATTATTTAACCAAACCTATGGCAACTGTACTAGTCCTTAGCCTGGCAGCTATTCTCACAGACAGAGATGAAGGATTCAAAATTCAGTTCCTGATGGCTGAAGGGATAATTTTGCATTTAGGATTCATCGTTTAACAAAACTGCAGCCAAATCTTACCATTTCACAGTGCAACTCTAAGTTAAGTACTCCCTTACTGGTAACCAGACGCACATACCCCTTCTTTTTAACACGCTCATATTTGATTATATCTTCATCAATTAAAGCTAAAAATAAATAAACAAATAAATAACAACCAATGATTATGTGGGATTATATATATATATATGATCTCAAGAAATGCATTTATCAGAATGAGCATAACACAACAGCTTCTAACTGCTACAATTCAAACATCCTAATAAATTGATAAACAGGTTAATCACATTACATGAATTGGTTTCCTTTTAATATGTCTGTAAATGGTGAGCACAAACCTGCTTCATGTCTGGTTTCGGGGTCCATAGCTGTAGATGTGAATGATGCGGCAACCCTGCCTGTGGAATAAGATGCCTAGAAAGAGAAACAACATGGCCTGTTTTCACAAATAGCATTAGTCCACTTTGATGTGAAAAGAAAAATCTGTAGTCCACTTAGATGAAATATTGACTGCTGCACAAAAAACTCATGATAAGCAGCAAAAGATGTGTATTTAGATTCACAGATTAGTCTTGTCTGAAAGCCACATACACAAATAATGTACTTACAGCATTGAACTTGTCAGCAACTTTCTTTTCCACAACTGTTTTCTCCTGAAATGAAAATATCAATTTTACATTTCAAACAGGACAGAAAAAAACATTTTTGGGTTAAATATACACATTTATTTCAATAAGGAATTCCTTAGCCTTTTCATCTATTGGCTAAAGACTGACATATCTTAAGTTATATTAGATTCTCTTCTTATGATGTGCACTTACTGGTGCTTTATATTCTTTATCTAATGTATTCAAGACATCTCTAGTTTCAGCATTTATGGATTTCAGGTGAAATTTAGGATCTTTTCTGGCAAGGACTTCATCTAAAACGAATAAAAGTAAATGATAAGAGAAGCTTTAAATTCTGAGAAAATATACTGCATTTGTCAACAACTTAGACCTGATGCAAAAATTAGCAGAGAAATTACCTTGCAATAAGTTAGAGGACTTAAAACAGCTCCTTCAATTAGATATGATAAAATCTCATGTATGAGTATTCAAGACAAAGCACTTACCCTCATCTTCCACCTTGACATTATTTTTCAAATGATAGAAGTTTGCCAAATTAAATTTGTCCAGATTAGTAGGGTCCTGTAATAGTATTTTTCAAAATTAACATAAAAATCATGAAGGGCTGATGATGGGAGCTCTCATAGTTTTTTGTCTTGACAACTTCTCCTATCAATGAACAAAAACATACATTTTGTGCAAAGTGAACAATATTCACTATATATATCTGATTAAATTAGAAGCTCAAGACTTCACAATTCTCCTTTTATACTTTTCATCTTTTAGAATCCTTTGTTCACTGCATAGCATTTACATTTGCCACATACTGTACGAACTGGTTGTTCATATCAAAGACTTCTGAAGTTTAGCAATGCACTGACATACTTGTATTGTGATTATATCAGCTCTTGTGAAGGGCTCATCATTGATCAAGTCCTTTAAATGTCCTGTTTTGAGATTCAGTCTTTCTACTGCCTGCAAAGCAAACAGCCAGAAAATTAA